TATTGCCCTGAATATGGCTCCACATGGAACTGTAATACAATTAGATGTATAAGAATAAAAAGAATAATAACTAATAAAGCAATAATACAAAAACAGGATTCAGACCCAGCAAAAATGCTAGAAAAAAGTGACAATTGAGTTTAAAATTAACAATTCACTGCCATATGAGTAGTAGGCCAAAGGATTGCTGCACAATCCTTTTTATCCTAATTTTATCTTCAACTCTACATACAAACTTCAAACAGTATATCTGCTGCAAGGTATAAGGTATTTATTTCTGTGGAAGTTACTAGAAGTCTATAAAATAGATCATGCCTTTTATTAATCACAAAAGCATGCAAATACTACAACTGATAAAAAAAGGAAAAAATAAATAATAACAGAAAAAAAAAATTAGTCAAGGTTTTTAATACATAGATTCCTATATTTCATTTCTGAAAAAAAATAAAATAAAAAAAATGAGTAACTCAATTTTTATTCCAATTTTTTGTGAGAAGGTTCTCATCACTGAAAAAACAAACAAACAAACATCACCTAATCAAAGCAATAAGTGACAAGCGTACAGGTTCAAAATCCCTGAAGCATAAATAAAGTCTTCAGAGTGAGCCTCCCCTTGAGGAAACAAAATTAGATAATTATTTAGGAGATAACACTACTGAAAACAATTATAATTGAATAAAAGTGAAGATGGACTGACTACAGCAGGCAGCAACAATTTGTTTTGTTTGGTTGTTTAGAGTACATTGAGAACATTTGGAAATTGAGTTAAAAAATGAAAACCATTGGTAGAACAGTCTTATAAGCACTTTAAAAGGAAAATTAGCTTTATTATGAATAACGCGAGTCATCTCCAATGAAAAACAAACAAACAAAACAAAAAGCAGCAACAACAAAAACCCCACAGTTCCATTCTCCCACGACTAAAGACTGAAAGCAGAATCATTATCTCCTTGTGAGTAAAGAAACATTTATCAGTTGCTCCAACAAATTTAGCTTAATATATTAAAGCTGCACTATTTTGTTTACAGCACAAGTAAGATGAAGATGGTAAGTGAACTTAAGTCATCAAAGACAAAAGAGGGCAAGTATTAATCTATGTGCTCTTTTGCTTGATCTTGACATTTTAATCTACTCAAATTTCATACTTTCATTTTTTAATATGGAATTTCTTTACTAAGGACTTGCTGGTCTTTATTAAAGCCAAGAGGTAAGAGAAAGGCCTTGGGGATGAGTGAGGGAAAAATAATGTATATCTGTTTCACTGAAAACTAAGATTTCCTTACAGTTACAGTACAGAACAAAAGTCCTTTACATTTTATTATTTTTGTTCTACATGAAATGCCAATGTACAGAAATTGTACAGAATTTTAAAGCACAAGTGTAATAATATACATCTATGCCTAAATGTTTCTGATGAATATTTTTACTTAATTAATAGCTGTCACATGATGTAAAAATGTGTAGAATTGCCCACCACTGTTAGCTAGGATACATACTATCACAACATTCATGAAGAGAATGTCTTCCTACAATTTTTCACTACTGGAAAAGTAGAATTTTTACATTATGTATCTCACAAGCCTCAAATAATAGGATTCTCTAGTTCAGATAAGCGTGAAATTAGTACACCCGAGTGTACTCCCTTCTTCACAAAAAATGAATTCAGTCACATGCCATTTCTTTTATCCATAATGACGGCCAGTGGTGAAAAACTTACATTGAGCCTGTATTATTTAATATAAAAAGAAAAAAATATTTGACTTGTGTTCTTTTTACCAGTTCAGAACTTTATCTAATCACGCTACTTACAAAGCTGAATCACATCACAAGAATATTTTTTTAATGGTTGTCTCTTCCTCTCAATGTCAGGTGACGGAAGGAATCTAACCTAAATTAAGCAAAGGATCAGACAGGGGAGGTGAACAAGAAGTGTCAGCAGTGCTTCTATTCAGTAAAGTTCCATGGCAACTGTAGTTAGCTTATACAAAAAATGCCAAAGTTGAGTATTCCTGCATTAAAAATCCAATCTTCAGCAAGTAAATATAAATAGTTTGCAGACACCTGTCAGGAATAACATGGCTGTACAAACAGTCAGACTCTCAGTGCTAAGAAGGCATCTCAAATGACATAGATCAATGTTTCTTAAAGTCTGCTACATATATTTGAATTGAAAGTAAGAGTTAGAATACAATCCTTCCCACATCTGCACACACCATGAATGCAGTTATAAGCACGTCCTTTAGTTAGAACAAAATTCAAAATTACTAGGAATTCTGGAACCCAGAATTCTCCCAGAATTTTTACGTCTACTATGTCTCCACATAATCAAAAAATGTTAAGCTTCCTATATTCAGACCACACCAAAGTTTTATTATTGTCTTTTATGGTCCCACAGATTTTTCAAAATCACACTAATGGTAAGATACTAATTGACCACCATAAAATAATAGCTTCTACTGCAAGTACTGAATTAGCCAACTAGGAAAGATGTTTGAGAATAGAGAAGGCTTTTGGGGAATCAGATAGGTGGCTGTAGTGACCATGTAATAGCTGAGTTCAAAATTCTGGGCATAAAGAGAAAAATCTCAACAGAATTTCCACCCAGGATTTGAAGACAACAAGCTCCTCAGAGATCTAGTTAGCAGCATCCCTTGGAAATCAGCTCAAGAATGTTTATGTATCCATGAGAATCAAACACTTTTCAGAAATCACCTTTTAAAAGCCCAGGAACAAACCATCTTTTCGTCATTTAAGTAAGCAGGGCAGATGACCAGCTTGGCTGAACAGGGAACTCTACCTGGAACTAGGACAAGAAAAGAAAAAGCATAGTCTCTGGAAGCAAGGTCTGGCTTCACAAACCTAGTACAGAGCTACAATTTGCAACCGTAATGAGAAAACAAGAAAAGCTGACACTGGTCAATGTGGTGTCAGACAAGAGACAAAGGACAATGATAGCATCAGACTGTTGCTTGAGGTAGATGGCTACCTAACAAGCAAGGAGGGGGAAAAGCTGAAGGCATTAAAGCTTTAATAATAACTCTTGGGCTGCTCAATCTTCAGAGTTGGAGGATCATGGTTTGGGGACATCAACTTCTCATGTGTGGTCACTGAAACTGTATGGCAACAGCTGCTCAATGTTCCTAAGTCCATGGCGTATGACAAGATTCACTTCAAAGCACTGATGCTGTTAACAGACATTATAACTTGAGCTCTCTCAGCAGTTTACTAAAGTTTCTGGGAGTTTGGGGATGTTCTAGCTGACAGTAAGCTAGCCAACTGTATACTCTTCTTCAGAAAGGGCATGAAAGAAGATCCGGGACACTTAGTCTAACCTCAGTTATGGAGAAGATTATCCCAGAGGCTACTGAAAGTCAGTCAGAGCAAAGCTATTGTTGAGGATAGTCAACATGGGCTCATTAAAGGAAAGACCCCCCTTAGAAATTTGATCTAATTCTCTGATAAGATCATCTCATGTTGGACAATGGAAAAGCAATGGATCTTTCTGAATTTTGGCAAGGTCTTTGATGCTGTGTGCCACAGCATCTCTCTGGAAATTCTGTCAACAGGTTGATGCTATGCTGGGTGATAAACCAGCTCAAAAATAGAGCTCAAAGCACTGCAGTAAATGAGATTACGTCTGGCTGATGACTGACCATTATCAATATTCCCAAGGGTTCAACTCTAGAGCCAGTTCTGTCCAACATTTTTATAAGTGAACTAGATCCAGGAATGGAATACATCCTCTGCAAGTTTGCAGTTGATCACAGAATAGCCTGGGTTGAAAAGGACCAGAATGATCATTTAGTTTCAACCCCCCTGCCACAGGCAGGGTCACCGACCAGTAGACCAGGCTGCAATACTAAACTGGGAAGTACTGTTGACACTCTGAAAGGAGAAGATACCTCACAGAGGGATCCTGGTACATTGAAGCACTGGGCAGTCATCAGTTTCATGAAGTTCAACAAAGATAAATGCTAGATTTTACAATCGGGAAAGAGTAATACCAAAGGTACAGATAGGGAGACAAGAGGCTGGAGAACAGCTCAGCAGGAAAGCACCTGAGGGTGCTGGTGAAATCAGATTCTGCATTGTGCCTTGATAGCCAAGAGGACAAATTACATTTGAGATGCATTAAACATAACACATATAGTTGACAAAAAAAAAAAAAAAAAAAAAAAAGATTCTCCTGCTATATTTACCAGTAATGTAGCCTCACCTTAAGTATTCTTTGCATCACAACACAAAAAGAAGCCTTCAGCTTCAATTTACATTGTCATACTGCTGCTCAAAGATGACACAAAGGGATTCTTAAAAGCACATCATCCTCATATTAGAGCACAAATAATTCAAATTGTGTAACAATGGTGTGGTTGCCAGCATATCAGAATTTGTGGCAGAAAACGTGAAATTGGCATTTCAGGAGTTTGCCTGGTCTTTAGCTTCTTGAAAACACAGAAAAGCAATTTCATACAACCCATCCAACCTGTGCTATCAAAAATTACTGAAGCATTAAAATTACTGAAGAGTTAACATGATTTCTGAAGATTATGTTCATAGGCAAAGTCAAAAAATAGGTTCCATAGTTCTTACCTGCAATGCGTGCAACCTCAAGAAACAAAAGTAATACTCTTTAAAATTATTAAAATAATCAGTTCTTAAAATTTTGCCTTAAAATTCTTGTCCAGCTTATACAGTTTGAATTGAAGGTGTAATTGTTACCAAACTTATAGACTCACAAGTTTAGAGGATAATTGTCTTTTGTATATCAGTTCTTTTTCTCCTTATATCCCTGACAAAAAAAAAATAATAATAATAATAAAAAAAATATATCATTTTGTTGTTTGGGGCCAACTCACAATCATCTTTAACAGGAGAAAAAAAAGTAGTATTTACCACATTAGTGGACTCTTCTGAATGTTTCAATACACATTAAATTACTTAAATAAGTGAGAGGTCATTTTAAAATCTTTGGAATACAAAAATAGCATCCATTGCAATTCTTGAACCCTGAGGTGCCAACTGAAGTCATGTCTTATTTAACAGTATTCACGGTTTCTCTACCTTAAATTGGTAAGCCAGGTGCTGTCTTTGCCTACTGATTCAGAATTTTAAGGTTCATCTTTGTGAACTCTCCAGACTTAATGTGCTTTGAATGTTTTGCATAGTTCTGTGCACCAAGTACTTTACTAAATCAAATTTAACATAAACAGTATTTGTTTTTCCTATTCTTTTGCTTCAGTATTTTTTGTCAAATACAATACTCCCTTACCTCTTTGTTTCCTTCCAGGAAAATGATCAGTTGTATATTAAAGGGTTACACAGCCTTACCTTTCCTACGTTATGCTGTTACACAAGACTATCACTCCCAGAAGAAATTAAGAGTCTAAAGTTCTCAATTGGACCAGTAAAGACTAAGCATAGTTTAAATTGTAGATGCTGGAAAATATTAGTGTTATTTATTCTGAGAGATTTGTAATTTAATGAATGGAAGTAATTTAATCAGTCTGTAGCCACACATACAATTTACCTTCTGTAGAATGACAGTCCCTAGCAGCAATCACAGTAAAGTCAAATGTTCATAAAAATCTCTGTATTATTCTTGCCAGAAAGTAGACATTAAGCTAACATCAAAGCAGTAACTTAAAGGGCCAAAGAGTTTTCTGTATAATTTTCTACCAACTTAAACATTGCTTGAACCATAATACATTTTTTTCTTAATTGAGATCAGTGACATTTAAGTGTAATGTTTCAGCACTTCAGCAATTATTAATGCTACTAGATCCCAGGAGCAAGGGCTAGGAAAGAGAAGTTGGTGGAGGTGGCAAAACTACAACTTTAGAAAATAAACTAATCTTTCCAGTGAAAGATTTTTGGCAGCAAAGATGAGGAAGTCAGATTTGCTTTATTTCAACTTACTGGTTGATCCCACTTTTTGACATGAACAGTTTATCTCAGAATACGGGCATGGAGGAATATATTACTACTTACACAAGGAGAAAACAACAAAATAGCTTACAAAGTTACTCTTTAAAGAATAAGTATATCTTAGTGAGGGCTAGGAAGTGGCACAGATTACTTGCTAGAAATTCTGTGACAGGTATGTTACTTTACCCAAAAAATTACAGAACTTCAGAATTTTTAGAACCTATGCTCAGAGGTGCTTCACAAACAAAGGAATACACATTTGAAGTAAAGTGTCTCCAGTTGTACTATGCTATGTTGTATGATATTGTACTACGTCTGCAAACATAGTTGCTGGAACATTAATATCAAGAATTTGTGACAAAAGCAGCAGGCACTTTCTAAAAAACTTAACTTTTAGGCTTGATTAATATTTTCAGACATCACCTATATTTCTTCATCACATACACACACACAAAAAAAATGGCCTTTTCTTTTACATTATTAGCATACCTAATTGTGCATTAAAAAAAAAAAACAACAAACCAGTTAGTGTTACTTGGTGCATAAATTATCCATTTCTTAGTCCACAGTTCTTGGGCGTGGGAAAAGCATTCTTTGCCCTATAGTTCATAATCAATTCTTGTCTGTATGCCTTTAATATTTTGGCCATTTTTTTTGGAAGAGCTAAAGGGTAAAGTAGATATCAATAATAGAAGAAAATAAAGACATCACGCGCACAATTCCACAACAAACTAAATCAAGACTACAGGCAAAAGAAACAGTTTACCTAGGGTCTGACAAAGTGTAGTTTCAGTCACCTGCAGATGATCAATTCTCTTGTAATATACAGAGTGGAACAGATTTGCTTTGTACTCTCCTTTGAGACAGTTCAGCACAAAATAATGGCCTTTACACATAAAGCTTTGCTTTTTACAGGTTCTGAGAACTTAATTTTACATTCACACTATTTAGAACTTAAATATCCAAATTAGTATTCTGTAGAATAATATAGAAAGAGCATAATATAGAAAGAGCTTATGATAGAAATCAGAAGATTTATCATCTTAGAATTACAGCTTATCTCTGCTGTTTAAGATTTTAGTGGCAAAGTATTCAATACTTCCAGTAGGTTAAAGTTAACACCTTTATCCTGTCCAGTAAGCCAGTGAATTTTATGAGCATCCACACCATGTATTCTCAGCATGAAATTCCTTCTAATAAGCAGGCAGACATATGTACCAGTTTAAAACAACAGAAGGACACACTTCCTTGTATCATGAGAAAACTCAGCTGCTGACAGCTAATGTGACAGAGATGAGGTCTTAATTTGAGTGAGAGTCTTTCCCTCCTCCTTCTCCTCACCATAGGGCCCTTGCAACCACAGGCTGAAAACACTAGTTTAATCATTTTTAATATGAAAAATACCCATTTAAAAATATTGTTTATGTGAAAACTTCATTTATGACACATAAGAGTAACTTTCAGATATTTTTTTGTTATAGGTCCCACACATACACCATCAAACATATGGGCCTTATATTCATCTTTCTACATTTTGAATGCTTATCTCATAAAAAGCCTCCCGCTTTTTATATTTTAATCTTACCTGGAAATTCCTACAGTATAAAAGCATGCATACTTTCTTTTGTGCAAACCACAAATTTCAATTTCCTGGGCTAAGGTAATCACGAAAAAAGATGATGTTTAATACAGAATCTAATCTTGAGGATGAGTGCTCAATGCATGGCTGACTGTGTGTATACTCTGGCTTCTTGGAGACCTTAAAAAAAAAAAAAAAAAAAACCCACAAAAACAACCAACCAACATTTTACTAATTCAGCCTAGGCCTTCTGATGTAACTGAAGTCATTACTAGTGGTCAAAACTTTTACACTGATTTTATTTCACAGTCCCCAGACGGTAAGACATCACACTAAACAAGCACCTTCTGTACAGAATAACCACACATAATAATAGCTCAAATAAAACCTTTGCCAAATTCTCATTCTTTGTGATATTCTCCATGACAGGGATTGTAGCATTTAACTAATGGAAGAGCTATGTTCAGTAATACAGATAGGAGACAGCACAGAAACCTCAAACAGAAGAGCTGGTAACTGTGGAAACTGCCCTATCAAAAAATAGGATGAAGGCAATGTCCATAGAAGGCTACTTGGAACAGCTCTATGCTCCTGCAGGAAGATTTATTTTGACCCTCTGTCAAGTTGGTTCTCAGTTGTCCCAGGGACCTTTATTCACTGAGTCTCAGTTCTCAGTTCTTGCCTAACAGGAGAAAGGTCACAATAAATGACCAATCAGTTATATGTACTACATTTCCTAGAAGAATCAAGATTAAAAAAAAGTTAAATTTCCCTTCCAGAAGTTGTACATAAACTACACTGAATTTAATTTTCCAAAATGTTTTATGAAAAAAATAAACAAAACCAAACTTTTTGTGTCAAGGTTACAGCACTTCTTTCAAACAGGCTTGAACTGCTGTGGCCCCGGGAGCATAATTCAAGTAATTAAATTTGGAGCAGGCAACTACAGAGGAATTGTTCTATGGCAGAGCTTGCAGGCTTAGAGTGAGAGAAGTTAGCACATTCAGCAAGGCTAAAGTAGAAGACAATGCCAAATATAGAAGAAAGATAGGTATGAACAGAGCAGTAAGCAATTTCCACAGAATATGCCTGCTTTTTTTGCTGTTCCAACAGAACATAATTACTTCAAAAATACTTTTAAAGTGGAAAGGCAAAGAAAGATTTATTAGAAGCTCTTCTCCCGAGCCACTGTCAAGCCGTACTGCAGCCTTCCTTTCTCTTTAACATTGCCTTTCTCGAGGGATTTGGTAATGCAAACGCTTTGGTGCAATTTCCTTTGTTAGAGATCTTACAGTTTTCAAGTAACTGGAGATAACGACTGAGCACATTCTGAAGAGCTCCTGAATCTCTAACTGCAGTCTCAAAGGTCCAAGTCCTTTAGCAGCTGGCTCAAGATCACAGGCTCTTAAGCTTGATTTTGGCAGTTACATGATGTTAAGCGTGTTGAATGACTGGATGCTTTTTCAACAGTAATAGCCATCCACAAGTTCTACAGTCATTTTTTATCTCAACAATCTACCTAATCTCTTCTTTAAAACTATAAATTCAATCTATAAAAATGAGAATTATGTTCATCCATTATAGAAAAGTTACCCTAAAACTGTGTACTTATGGTTCATAAACATCGGCATTGTTAAACTTCAGCTGTATAATACATTGTTTTGAGACTAATGTGTGACATCAGCAGCAGATGAGTTAATTAGTGGCCAAGATACACTGCAAAGTGAAGTATTTATTGAAGCAATACAAATATACAACAGTATAATTTAATTGATTTGTAGTGTAACATTGTAGATCGATATAAACTAAATTTTCAGATAAATTGGTTATAATTTCCTTCTATAGACATGTTTAAAACATGAACCAAAGAACAAACCTAGAAATTTGTTTAGAAAATAGGTAGAGGAATCATCAGCAAGTGTTCCATCAGAGTAACAGCTGACAAAAGAAACAAGTCTAAAATCTCGTTTTGCAGCAAGCACTTTTTATCAGATATTGCATGATATACACAAAATGTTTAATATTTAAATACATCTGAATTGCATGCTCTTGATAGATACTGAGAGTATGCCTTCTGCTTTGCTTTTAAAGGCATCTAGAATGTGAAACATGCCCATCTCTTTACTTCTTCCAACCCTACTCACTAACAGTTAAATTTATCTCACTTTTTCACTGAAAAGAATGTGCCAATTCCATGTTGCTTTGTGTTCTTCTAGCACTGAGCTCAACCAGCAACTATGAAAGGCAATGAATTCAGATTGCGCTCCTGCATTTGTTCTCAAGTTAGTTTTGTCATCTTTGCAATTCTAGATTCAGACCTCTCTTTCCTTTCACTTTTTACCACCATCTTTGATTGCCTCCTTTTCCCTCTCAGTAAATTCTGACATGAAAAGGTATATTTATGTCCAGAAAAAATGTTTAAGTTTAGTGGCAAACAAGATCAGATTTATTTAACAGGTTTCCTGATGTCTCCTAGACATATCTCCTTTATCTAGGAATACATTTATGATATCCTTTACTCTCACCGTGCCTCCCAAATTTATTTTGCTACTTTGCAGTTCTCAAAGTAGTAAGGAAATAGTAAGGGAGCTGTTGTAATTAAATTATATGAATCCTTTAAAAAACAGTACCTCCACAATTTCATGTTAACTTCATAATTATTCCTGCACAAGCCAAGATACAAAAACATTGCTCAAGCAGTTAAAATTGAAAAACAGCTGTTTCCTCCCTCATAGTCAGTGAAGAAATCTGACAAAGCAATAAAGAAATCATATTTTAAAAACATTTTTTACACTCCTCCAAAAAAACAAAAAACAAACAAACAAAAAGAAAATCAGCCATGTATAATGAAAAACTAAAATAAATAAAATTAAAAATTGAGATCAAAATTGATACAGCATTTTTTAAATTACTACTAGATTTGACTCAAAAATCTCTGATTTAGAAGAAGACCTCAGTAAACTGTAAGAACAGTACATGATGTTTCTAGAAGATAAGTCATACACCTTCACATCTGCAGCTGATGATCACATCCAAAAGTACAAGATGGTCACAGCAACTCCATAATCAGATAAAAGACACAATCAGGTCCAAGAAATCTGGAAATGCCAATACCCACGTTAGCCACAAAGCTCCCCAAACCATAGCTGATACACTGGGCTTAATATTTCTACCAGAAATAACACTCTATTATTCCTCAACTGACAAAAATTCTTGAATTTGCTTATGTTTTGGAAATGAACAGCACCAGTCCACGTAGTTCACCTTCCCTGAACCAAAGATCAAAATCCAAATCAGACATCCAGTAAGCATTCCTCCCTCTTCCTTTAAGTTTATTCCCTTCTCCACAGGAACCTCCTCTTCATGATATTCCTCAGCTGGATCCAGAACCCCCCCCCCTCTAACAGCAGCTGATACCAAAGGCACAGAAGGGCATCATTAAGCTTTTCTTTAACCAGGTTATTTCTATCCAACTATTTTTTCTTAAAGAAACAGTCCAATGGATAAGGATGTAATATACAACTTTCCAAATCTCGCAGTATCAAATATGATTTTTCATTTGCTCTTAACTGCTGTTCAGAATAATAAAAAAAAGTGATAACATTTCATCAAAATGATTTAAAATTTCACCACAGTGAATGTAAATACTACTTAACTGTTTCTTTTTCACGGATGAACTCTTTGTGAGACTAAAAACTGATTCTTACATGCTTATGAAAATACAAAAGTCTTAGAAAAGGATATAAGCTCCCATATGCATTCTAAACACCCACATCAAACTGTATGAGAATAAAAGGGAATACCTCAGACTATTATGTATCTTTGTCTTCACTATTAAATAATATATTCAGCAGTGACAAAAGACTTACATAGTGAACTGTAAGTTTTCCACTACTAATAGAGCTGTCTTCAGTACAAGGTGTCAGCTCTGCATGGGGCTTTTTGCTGTATCCTTAGGTTTCTTTATCTTTCAGATGAATACTAAACTGGTTACTGGCTATAATCCACTTATGTGGCCCAAACTTTTATTATCATTATACTACATATTTTTATTCATGTTCTAATCAAATTTTTATTGAAATCTTAAAGGAGACTAGCAAGATTTTTCTTTTCAATCTTCTTCAGCAATTACAACCATCTTTTCTCAGGATTGCTCGGGTGTTATGTTTCCTGGTTAAAACAATGGCTGGTTAGGAAAGTTTCTTCGTTAGTGATATTATTTTTGTAAAACCCAAGTCTCTCAAAGTTTTCTAAGGCAAATGAGAGAAAGGTAGCTCAAGTTCTGTATATAAAGTGCCAAGAAATCCATCTGAGCTGAAACCCTTCTGTCTGAATTATTCACTCATTTTAACTGCTTATTGAAGAAAAGCTGAGTGTGAACAGCCACCAGGTGTATAATGGTTTCCAATGGAAGGAAAGCCAGGTTGTGCAGGAAAATAGAGTAGGAAGATACACTGCAATATCAGGGGATCAGTACTCCAATGTGCATTGTGAAAGGAAGTAACTCCACTGTGGAGACAAGGTCCATCCTATGTTTATGCAGGACTACCTCCAGTTTGTACATTTAGAAATATACATCAGAATTTCCCAGAGACATGACAAGACATATTTCAGTATATTTCATCAAGTGCAAAAGCTTATGTAAAAATTATTGTGTTACAGAAATAATAAAAATTTTTACATAACTGACAAAATTATAGCAATAATTGCAAGATTATTGCAATGAGAAGGTTACCATTAATAATTGCTAAATGTCAACAGCACTAGACAGTAAGGCCTGAGACACGTAATATATGTCGGTTACTTCAAAATTAATGCCACTTATCTATTTCCATGGAAACTATAACTATGAAGAGCACAATAACACTATTTGATAGAGCAAATTCTCCAAGCACCACCATTAACTATTCATTTTTGCCATCAAAAAACAAGAGCCTGCATGCTGTGCTTGTAAAAATCTGTACCACTGGAGATGACCCACTGTTTCACAGCTGCTATGATGATCTCAGTGCCAGGAAAATGTTGCCCATGCAGTTTATCTCTCATCAACCTGATCATATAGAAGTCAGATGGCACCAAATCTAGACTATGAAGTGGGTGTAATAGGACAGTCCAGGCAAGATTGGCAATGTGCTTCATATTCTTAAAACTTACCAGGTCCTGGTGTTATCATGTTGCAAAAAAAACGTTGTCCTCTTCTCCGCCTGATTCTGGAAGTTCAAGCCTTCAATTTAGTCAGCACTGCAGCGTAGGAGTCAGAGTTAATGGCTTGTCCATGTTCCAGGAGATGTAGAAGAATCACCCTTTTCCTATCCTCCCCAAAATAGTGCACATCTCTTTATCCGCTGATGGCTGTGTCTTGAAGATTTTCTTTGATATTCACGTGTCACTCCATGGACTGCTGTTTTGACTCTTCATTTACTGAGGAAGCTGCCTTAAGCATTTCTACAGCTATACCCAGCCTGAAGCAACTGATGATTTGACTTTGTTTACACATCTTTTAGTAATACATAACCAAAATTTGCCACAGACTAAATTTTCTTGTTTCCTATCTAACAGCCTGGTTATCAATTCATCAGACTTTGAAGATACTTACAACTCATGACTGCCATACTCTCAAAACTTCAGTAGTTCTTACTTCCATTATGAATCCTAGCCTTAAACTTTTCCTGTGGTCCATTTAAGATTAAGGAAATCCCAGAGAAAATGCATTAAACTCATCCAAAGGGATATTTCAGCTGGACAAGTTAAGGGCGCTGCTATTGGGCTTAAAAACTAGGAAACATACAAAGAGATAGGTGTCACAGAGGAATCAAATCCACTAAGAACAATTTTGTATGTCTCCTAGACCAATGTTTGACTTTGTGCAAGCACACGTCCACAACAGTGAACAAGAAAGGAGCTATCAGAGTGCATATTTATACCCTAAATACCCAGTTAACATATGCTACAGCAATAATTTGATTTTATGAAATATTAATACATATGTTAAACACATCCTTGACCTCTATCATCAACAAAGTTGTAAATCAATATTTTTTATCAATTTTCATATATTTATTGTACACGTATTTTGTTCAGAACAGTTTCACTGCTCTAGGAATTCCACATCATCATTTCTTTAAATGAGATTATTTTGACGGACGTGAGAGTGCTGCTTGGATGGTTTTAAAATTTTTCAGGGCAGTGAATAATCCCAAAATGAGAGAGACTCAAGCTGAAATCCAAAGACAGCGAATAGAATACCTACATCTGCATCAAGAAAAAAAATAAATAAAAAAATAAAGGGATTGTAATTCACTGACAACCAATTGGAAACACATTCTGACTAGCATGCTGCATATAAGAAAGTTCAGAAAAGACTTGCAGATCAAATGCATTGACCTGTGCACTTCTGACATGAGGAAAAATAAAAGGAATTGACGCACAAGTTAGCCAGATATCAAATATTATGGTTTAAGAGAATGCCTTACACTTTCATGAAATGTGAAGTCTTGTGGTATTCAAGTGCTTATAACTCATAGTTAACACAGTTTCTTACATATGCAAGCTCTATTATGAGATATTTTCTATTACTTTGCTTACAATTCCTAGTTTCAAACCAGAATCCCCTTAATTAGATGCCATAAAAAGAAATTAAAAACAAATTCTACCCCAAAGAACTTACAGGCCAACCATAAGAGAAAACAGATGGGCAGAGACAGATGGTGGAACAGAAGGAAATAATGAGACTCCTACAGTAGATATAAGAGATGTAATTAGGCTGATCATTTACCCATGTATGGTAAAGTTTACTATGAATGAAACACTGCAGTGAGTTTACATGAAACTTCTGCATAACAGCCCTTTTCTCTCTCCTACTGTAACAACGACAAACCTGAAATAAAATTTTGCAATACAAGAGTAGTTCATTGCTCAGGTTCTTACTCATCTATGCTTTGCTTAAAGGTCTCTTGGAAATTAGCCATCTTCTAAGCCCTTTCACAGTAGAGAGGTCAAGCAGATACAGTGTTTAAAGCTTTGCTACTATTCTGTTTTGCTAAAGAAGCATCTTTATTTTGCCAACACTGTAAGAGACATCCTTCCTAACCAAGGAACAAGAAATTGTCTAAAAATAAAACTTTAAAATTGAGATATTATTATTTCATAAGTCATTTTCTACTCCTCCCACAATTTTACATTATAAGTAGGAGATACAAAATTAACTCTTGATTTAAATGTCTTTATCCGTGTTTGGATGTCCATTTTTTTTATTATTATTTTTTTTTTTTAACATATTTGCAAAACTTTGTTTTTCTAGAAACTGAAGATTGAATACATTTTATGTAGTGTAGTAGAGGGAAGATATAGGAAATCTTAATAACACCTCTGGCTCTGGGTATGAAACAATTTAAGCTCTACAACAGAAACATAGATTAAGTTGAACAAAATATATTTGTCTTGTTTGTTTCGTTCTACTTGTACAGGACATCTGCTCATCTAGAAAACAGACTGCATGATTTTTAGAGGTCAAAAAACACACAGCAAAATATCAAAAGTATTATATTTTGTCTTATTGTTAAGTAGGAAGACATTTTTCTTGTCAAACATAGGCATACGGACCTGTACTATGAATACTGTGAGTGAAATCAATGGTTAGCACACATCTCCCTAGAATTCAGATGAGCTATTATAACGTCACTTTGAACATAAACGTATCAAATACTCTCTTTACTTCCAAGAAATACTAAAACCAACAGAAATATTTCAGTAAAACATAAAGGACATGGATCGTTCTTCCTCTAATCAGAGGCATTCTATATTAAACTATCTAGCAATTCTTTTGCAACTTCTTATCTGGAGGATAAGAAAATTCATCTGATCCTCTGATTTTAAGCAAGGATCAATTCACACTGAAAACAAAATTTTATTAACTTTGCTCAATTATGACTGGAATGCAATATTTCATTACCTTCAGTGCAGGCTGAATAATTGTTGTCTTTTTTTTCACTGCGCCTGTTCTGTACAGTTCTGCTTGCCACCCTTACCCCATTCTTCTCACCGTCATAAACACCACCATATAGTGATGCACTTTTTCCCTCCTCTGACAGAAGTTTTTAAATAGAATTATAGATGACCTCTGTGTGGGTTGCCTACTGATTAGTAAAAGCCTTATTTCCACTGAATCAAAAAAATGTCTATAGAAAAGGAAATGTCAGACCTTAATAATATTGCTACTTTGCTGAGTTACAGTAAGTTTCTTGTCTTTGAGAAGAAATTGGTAACACAAAAATAAGAATTTATTCAACATTATTAATTAGGTCACTCCAAATGTGATACCTCCTTCACACCTCCACTCTTGATGCCAAACATGTCAGATAAGTCTGTCGTATGAATGTCTCACACAAGCATAAAATGCTTAGCAAACAGCTTTCTTTATGTGCTTTCAGACTTTTGGTACTGATACTTAGGAAACTGCAGTTACTCAGAACTTTCCAACTGACCTTCCTAGCCTTTTAAAAAATACCTAGGGACTCTCAAGTTATTTAGCAGATTTTTTTTTTCTTCTTCCACACAAAGAGGTTTAAAAGATTAAATAGAGGAAAAACAAAAACAAAATCAGAGCCTTTATACAGTTTCTGTAATTAGAAGCTCTGAGACAGCAATATATAATGGAAAATACAATACCACAGTTTTATTAATGCTACACTTCACTGTTTGATTCATGTCAGAATTACATAGCATTCAGAGCAGTATAGTCCGATATAGCATTAAGCATTCACAAATTCTGAACTATTCTAATCTCACAAGACACAAAATATCAACATTCCTTGCTTTTTATAACTATTCAAATCAATAATATACGATGTCATTTCCAAAGAGCTTTGAAGTCACGATTGGGTTGATTTTCACAGATTACTGGAAACCTGGTATACAGTGAGGAAAGACAAAAAGAAATTTTTAAACACCCTAATGCTTTCAAAGTGCCTACTGTTTTAAGAGTCTCTGTAGACATTTGAAAGGTTACCAGATTTTAATAACTGAATTATTAGAGAGATTTATTTTAAGTCAGAATGTAACTTGCAATATTTATAACCAGTTCCATTTATCTTCTGATTTTATAAGTACTATCCAGCTGTGTTATGTAGGACATAAATTGCTCCAAATGTTTCATGAAATCTAATAAAAATTGAGTTGTTTCAAAGGAAAAGTAGAACTTACAAATTTGTCATCTAGCTAACCTTAAGCCTCTAAATGTTTCAGATTCTGAACTGCTTACTCCTACAAAACTAAAAGCAAACATAATGCCAGTAAGATTGGCATCCATATGACAAAAACCTTGAAATTAGGCTTGTATTAAAAACAAAGTTTTTTTTGTTTGTTTGTTTGTTTTTTTGAGTGCTCAGTGAAGCAGTGAAACAGTGAGGATCACAAAAGGTGTAAAATTGTGAGCCAGCAAATCCATATGATAAATCTTTGGAAGACAATTAAAGGTCATCTAATTCAGAGTCAAGTTATAAGAGATTTTTTATAGCAAAACTGTATACATGACTAATCCCTTATGGTCATATATACAAGCAAACTTGTTTGTAGGCTGGATAAATCAGTACAGGCTTATAATGAAGTCTCATTATCTGACTGGGAATGTTCATCAGGAGTAAGATTTCAGTCTCTTTTTTACAGTGCTTGAAGGAATTCAGTCACTCAAATGAAAACTGCTTGAGTAGTCATCCTGGCAGCAAGGAAGAAAGCATTGACAAGAGCACAAAAGTACTTACCACCTAAAAATATATATATATATACACCTATTTCACCCTGAGACTTTTTGAATACTGGATTTAATTTGTGCCTGCTTCATTAATGTGAGAATGATGTCTAGAGTGTGCAAATAATACTCCAAACTTAGTTAAAGATTATGTAAGTATACTTTTTCCATGCTTCCACATGGAAAGAAATCCTAATGAAGAACTGTCTGAGTAAAATAGCCAGTAGAGAAAAGTAGGAAAACAAAATGGACAGAAATATCTGGTAAAAAAAATAGTGGTGAGAATCAGTGTCAGCAGGTAATCCACATGAAGAGAGAATGCGATTAGTGCTACAGAAAAAAAAATAAAATAATAATAATAATAATAATAATAATAAAAAAATAAAGAGAAGGTGGCTTCCTTTTTCATTTTCTATTATACTTCTGTTGTCTTACCCTATTCTATTGTCAGCTCGAGATTTTCTTTTTTAATTGCTTTCCATGGTGGAATTCTAATTTTCGTCCATAATTTACTTAAATCGGATGTTTCCCGTTTTTGCATTCTACTTCAAATGCACCTGAGTCTTGGTTAGGAGTGATGTACTACATTTTTTAAACATCAGAATCACACATTTACTCTTCCACATAAAAGATCTCACATTGAAAATATTGCCTTGTATAATACTGAAGACATTTCTGTAAAGAGTCAGTGTTTTGAATGTATAGATTCATGCCGTGTCTAAAAGTATGCTTGTCATGAAAAGAATTAAAAGTAAGGGAATGACATATTGTGACAAGAGTAAATTATGTATTTGAAGATCAATGTCATAATATATTAATAGAAATGTGAGTGACTGTTTCTAGCTAGCAGTTATAGAGCTCACATTTTATAATATATTCAGAAATTATAGAAAAGCACCATGGACAATAACAAATGAGTGCCTGAAACACAAAGCTGCAGAGAAACAAGGTTCATATGTTACCACGTTTCATCGCTTCACACACTTCAGAGAACTGAATGATTCAAGATATACTGAAGCTTTTTCTTCTATTATGATTTATCTAATAACATTTAAATTTATAAGTGAAACATTTTATTTTTTCCATATAATTTATTTTTGGTTTATCTTCTGTTCATAAAATCTCACAGAATCACAGAATGGCCAGGGTTGTAAGGGATTTCAAGGATCGTGACTCTCCAACCTCCCTGCCACATGCAGGGCCACCAACCTCCACGTTTAATGCTAAACCAGGCTGCCAAGGGCCCCATCCAACCTGGCCTTGAACACCTCCAAGGACGGGGCATCCACAACCTCTCTGGGCAGCCTGTTCCAGTACCTCACCACACTCTGAGTAAAGAATTTCCCCCTGACAGCTAACCTAAATCTTCCCTCCCTCAACATAAAACCATTTCCCCTTGTTCTACATATATCTCAATCGACTTTATTTGTTTGTGCTTTTGATTTCTTCTCATGCTGTCTCTTAAAAATCTTTTAAAAATCTACCCAGTTATCTTCAGTTCACATTGAGCTTGTTTCCTGATGAATGTCAAATTTCATCAACACAAGGCAACCTGAGAAGAAAATGTTTGTAGGCTGTAATTTCTTTGCTTTTGACAAACTCAAGCTTTCCTAACCATTTTCAATTAGATAGAAACAGTTTACTGAAAATACAGTCATTTCAAAAATTGACCAGTAACTCAACTCTGAAACAAGGCCTTGATAATGTGTTTTTAATAAAAGGAGGTGGACGACGTTTGTTCAAAATGTGTAGCTAGAGAAAATACTTGTGGAATACTCAACATATCCTCATTATATTCCACTCACATATCTGAACTGCTGTCATACCTGATGTAGATTACTTGTTTTGAATGCAAATGGAAAAGCCACTCTGTAGTACATTGACTCCAATATTTGGACAGACTATTATTCTGCAACTAAATAATAGCAAAGCTGACAATTGGGAACCTCCCAGTATAAAAAGAACATAGTTGACTCCTATCACGTCAGTTCATACCAAGTAATACTAGGAAGAAGATGATTAAGGGTCTGCCAATCTTATTCATCAAGAATGACCTGCAAAGACTAATACTACTGTTTACGAATTGAGTCCGTAAAAACAACAAAACAGAGAAAAACATTACATTCATCTCTTCAGGAATTGAAAAAACTCTGACGTATTCAATATCATTTCTTCAAAAAACAGAGTGATTTTAAAATCAGAAGTAATCTCATAAAATCAATTGTTTTTAGTATATCTTTTTAGTTTTATATTTTGTAACGTTGAATAAATCACTGAAGTACTTTCACCAAAATATTTTGCACGTATACAGCTGTTCACTGACAGATTAAAAACAAGTGGAACATCAAGCCGAGCAATCAAGTTTGATTTCATACGCTACTAGCTAGCTTGAAAACAAAAAGCCCTCAATCAGTTGTGATTTTCCTGTAGTTTCAGTTAGAGTCCTTGGAATTCATGTCAATATACTGCATTTTCAGTGTTGCATACTTTAGTTTAAAAGTTGTAGATCAACATATTTAATTACTTAGAGAGTTGTAGACTATTATCTGACATCTACAGAATCTATGCTTGCTATAATTCTTTTGGGAATTATTCACATTTACTTTTCAAAATAAAAGCTGTAGGCTTACTTGTAACTCTATTTTAGGATATAACCATAATCTTGTATATATTCATATACATCATGATAAAACAAACACTGGCTGTTGGGTTAGAGACAGTGAACTTGTTATGAGGTTGAATTTAGCTTCTGCCAGGGAAAAGGGAATCTTTATAGTCTATGTTTTTGTGGTAATGTAGAGCAACCACTAAAAAAAGACAAAGAAATAACAAAAATCAACCCTTTCGTTTCTATGAAATGCTCCCTCTGTAAACTGTGATTACTTCTCTGTGTTGCATATTAAAAATAAAAATAAAAATTGCTACTTGGCCCTGCATATTTCTTAGAGCCACAGTGAAAACAATCACTGGGAGATATTATTTCTGAAAACGGGCGCCTGTAGATCTCTTCTGAAGTCACAGAAGCTGAAGTCCTTGCTTGTGACCTGAAAACCTATATTTATATTGCTGCTATTAGCAACCATAAATACAAGCTTCAATTTTTTGGTATTTGATGGAAGCATTTTTATCTTTCTATATATTTAATCTAGATATTTTATTTCTTTTCCATTCTATGCACTGACTCTCTCACTCAGACAGTGTCCATAGTTCTTACCCACTTTCAGAACTTTCAGGAATTTCAGGAAAGCTCTCAATAAGAAGAGTTTGCACTTCTGAGAAAGGTCTGAGCTGGAGATTAATTGGTCATGCTCAACAGTTCCATCTGAGCTATTTCTAGTATAAAATGGGCCAGGCAGGCTAAGATGTGAAAGGAAAAAAAGTGCTTGCTGAGGTGTTATCTTAGCAGCAGCACTGCTGTATGTAGCTTGCACAGCTGGTGAATGAAATCTTGCAAAAAGAACAACCAAACCAAAAAGCAACCAACCATCACCCTGAAAGTGAATAAAATTAGGAAAAAAAGGAAGAAAAAAAAAAAAAAGGATTATTTACAGGCAGTATATGGAAACATCATTCATTAGGAAGAGGTACTGTGTTACTATGTCTCCTCATTTTCTATTACTGATTTTTATATGGAATTTATGTAGGATAAATGGAGGATAATGAGATTTGATGAAATTTAAAGTGTTTCATTTTGTTCCTCATAACACAAGATTCACACAGATATAACTACATCAGGTTGTAATGTGCAGTGTTGTGCCTTTGCACTGTCCTCACTTGAAAAAAATAATCAATAATTACTTAGATAATACGATTTTTATGTCACTTTCAC